TAAGACATACATGGGCAGATACTATGAGAAGCTTGACTATTCTGCTTCGACAGATCAACAGGTGAAATTCTATCACTAAATTATTAGATCTCTGTTATTGCTATGAATATATGCTTTATGTTAGGATTTCAAGTTTTGCCTTCGTTTAGAAGAATTATATTCACACGACGAAGAACACGATGAATTCAATTAAAGCTTCCTAACTGGTACTTCGTTGTTCCTTTTTTTTTTTTTGGTTAATTATCATGTTAATTGTTTCCAAAATTATTTTTTCCTGGTTAATTCCGAAATTCAATTTAATTTTTCCAAAATTAATTAGATTTCATTAAGGGTAATTAAGTAAGTACGTAAAATCAATGACTCAACAAGAGCCGAGAGTCCGACACGTCAGCAAAAACACTTCTCAAATATTGTTTTTTTTTTTTGGTTAATTATCATGTTAATTGTTTCCAAAATTATTTTTTCCTAGTTAATTCCGAAATTCAATTTAATTTTTCCAAAATTAATTAGATTTCATTAAGGATAATTAAGTAATTACGTAAAATTAATGACTCAACAAGAGCCGAGAGTCCGACACGTCAGCAAAAACACTTCTCAAATATTGTTATATATAGATGTAGAAACAAATAGTTATATTTTTAAATCTATAGCTATATATTTCTAGATTTCCTTATAATTTACTAATCAATTATTTTGATTTTTTTTTTCAATAAGATATACATTGTAGATCTCCAAAAACTTCCAAAAATGAATTAACTCGCCTCAAAGTTTTACTTCATCTTTTTTATTTTCAACATATATAGCTAGTTTAAAAACTTATTTTTGGTGAGATACGGTTTCGTCGGATTAAGAAGTTTTAGTATAATATTTTGTTAAAAGCTTAAGTTTTATGTGTTTTCAAAAAAAAAAATAATAATAATAATAAAAATAAAAATAAAAAAAGTTTTATGTTGGTAAATGGCTCAAGATGAACTAGCTAAGAGATTTTTAACGTTTTTCAACTGATAGAAGATTCACCAACGGACATGGAAAATTCAGAAACGAATGAAGCAAAAGAATTACGCAATCAAAATATCACCAAACCAGGTAATAATGAAACTGCTACGCCTGATCCCACACAGCTTTATTCTTTCTTTACACAAAATCACCAAAATAAAAAACGACCAGTTAAGTCGAAGAATAACTGATATATCTCATCAAAGTACCTAAATAGTTTCGTAGTCTTTTTACTCATAAGACCCAAATGATAAGGAACATATGAAAAACCACTTAAGACTTCATCAACGGATTTACTTACCAGTCAAATACAAACCTCACATGTTTGCCTCTACTTTATGACAATGACAACCTCACATTTCGTAGAGGCTCTTGGGATTTCCAAGATTTTCGTCAAGATTTCATCTTCTGTTGAATTAGAATCCAAATGTAAAGTGAGTTTCTTGAGGATAGCACAATTCTCTAGGAAGCAACTTACTAGCTTCATTTCTACAACATGTCCCGAGAATGTGAATTTGAAATTAACAAACTCGAGAGAGGATTGCAAACACTTGATTTGATTCATCTCCTCGGAATGTAGCTCCTGGTTGTGATAATCACGCTGTAGCTGAGGAAAAAGGAGAGGAGAAAATACAATCAAATGATATGGCAGAAGCTGATGCATAGAGATGAGAAAATTATAGCAAGGTTAGCAGATTTACCACCACGACTAGGGATTTCAAATTCGGGCAGCTCTCAAGAAATTTAGCCAACCCTTTCAAATCTTGTGAAAAGACAGAAACGGACAGGCATGACATATAACTAAATTGAGGCAGTGATTCTGATTTCGAATACTCATAAATGATCTTACCAAAAATGAGTATAATCACTGAAATTTGAATTGTTTCCCTGTAGGGCCATAGCGAAGGAGGAGTACAGAGCGAAGAAGAAAGCCAAACTTGGTGAAAACCCGACTGTTGGTGCGTGCTCTGAAAAGTGTGATGGCAGCAAAAGCATTCCGACCGTTAGCAATTCGTGAGTTCTATTGTCCATTTCGCTGTTTTTTGGGCTTTGTCTGCAATTGTTAGGAGCCAAATAGACAAAATTATGGTATTGTCCATCTTCGCCGTACTTACTGAGTCGGGAATGACTGGTAGACAGGCACAGAGTGCCATTTTCGTCCATTGATATGGTATACTCAGTATCATTTTCGTCAAATATGTTTATCATGACTGAAAAGTGGTATAACTGTACAGGCTCCAGAGGAGAAAACAGCCTACTAGACAAGCGAAAGAAGTGTTTAACGCCGCTCTCCTACCTCCGCGGCTATTCTGCACAGATCGTTATCCTTTATCAGGCCGTATTAACTGCTACTCCAGACCTCAGTATCTCCTTGATCTTGTAGAAGTGTTAGATGGGTCTCGGGAGTTAGCGTGGCTTAAACAATCATGATTTGGTCGTTTGTTTGACCTACCAGTCCGAAGAAGTTCGTTATCTGGGAAACTTGTGCATCAATTTCTATGTAGGTCACTAGTAACTAAGAAAAAAGAAGAGTTGTGGTTTGTTTTTGGGGGGCATCCCATCCGTTTTTCTTTGAGAGAGTTTGGACTCATTACAGGACTCTACTGTGGACCATATCGATGTGAAGAAACACTTGATAATATGAAGAATCCTCCTGATCCTGAAGGTACAAGTCAAACTGTTGCTGAAGCTCAAAATCCTCCTGATGCTGAGGATCCAAATTCTCCACCACCGTACTTTAAGACTCTGATAGGACCCAAGAAATCATACACTATAAAATCTATTGTAGATATGTTAAAGCTGGACAAGAGGATGCCTGAGGAAGAAAAGATGGGTTATGAGCGCAGGTTGAGACTGGCTCTCCTAGTAATTGTGGATGGAATTTTGGTGTGCGACACTTCTACTGTCAGAGCAACTTATGAAGTTGTGGGCATGCTAAAAAATTTAGATATCTTTGTCAAATATCCATGGGGCCGTAAGTCATTTTCTAAGACCTTGGAGATGGTAAAAGTTGGTGTCGGGCAAGTTGAAAGTGTAGAAGAGCTTGTGGAAAGGCTAAGCCAATCTCATGCAGCAACTCATGGGTTCACTCTTGCCATCCAACTTCTTATCCTGGAAGCTGTCCCTCTGTTAGAAAAATACCTTCCTGACCCTAAAGATGAGCTTACTCTTAGTGACCGCATTGTTCTAGAATTGACTTTCTTGAAGTGTTATCACAATTCCAACATCCTTGAAACAGAGCTAGATCCAAGTGTAAGTGAATAATCATAACATCATGGTAAGTGGTTAGTTATGTTGCTTCCCCTAACTTGTTAAGTTTCATTTTATTTATGCTTTAGCTTAAGGTGGAGAGCATTATACATGGTGATGAAGATGGAGAACTGGAAGACTACTCATGGGGTGAAGATGAGACAGGAGATGTTGCAGTGGAGTATATGTCTAGAATGATTAAAGAAGGACACAAATTTAAGAAAGAAGACTGGCACGGCGGTGTGGAGAATCAACCATTGATAACAGCGTGTTTGAGGACTAAAGCTGAAAAACTCACTGCAAAACAGAAAGGGAAAGCAAAATGTAAACCAAAGATGAAAACAAAGCCGCAAGGGGAAGGTAAAAGTGATGGTGGTGAGTGTAGTAAGATTCCTCTGGAAAATCTGACTGCAGAATACATTTTTAGGGAGGTAGAGCGAAGGAATTATGAGCACAGTTTGAAGGTACAGGAAATGAATTATGAGCACAGTTTGAAGGTACAGCAAATGATCTTCTTGGATAGGAAAAAAATGAAAGATGAAGTTGTGAATGCTGTTGTTGATGCTGGTTTCGAATGTATGATGGAGAAAGGTGTGAATGGTAGCAATGTTCACTACACTTGTTTGCTGAATGATATAA